ACACTTTTGTCGTTGCCGCCGCTTTGCTTGTTGCAGGAACCTGGAAGATGTTGAAAGCTTCGCTCGGCACTCATAATCCGACGAGACTCCTTCTCTTATGCCCGTCGCTCGCACATGGAGTTTTGCTCTAGCTAAAGTTTTTGAGGATATCTTTGGAGGCTTCTTTCATTCCTGAATTGAAGCGCATCACGGCCTCAGCAACTGCAGTCTTAACAGCTATGAGTGAAGCATGCTTCTCTTTAGGCATTAGAGACCATGTGACAGAATGGAGTGCCTCGTTTGCATTTTGTGTTTTGCCTCTGCTTTTTAGCAGCTCCTTGTCACAAAGTCGCTAATAGACTGGAAGTAGTGCATCACGGACATTTTGTGGGAAGTTGTAGGTGTGTCTTGGCAGCGGTTCTCTTGCAGCAGCAGCATTCTGCTTGCACCATGAGTCACTGCCACTTGGGCACAATGTGTGGTTAGACCTTTTATCAGTCGATGTCACATGATAATATGTGGCCATGGCTGCCAGGTGCATCGCATCTACGTCACCAATATTAGACTTCAGAACCCAGCCATAGTATCTCGACAATTTCTCTATGACATCACCTGTCAAGCGGCCTCTTCCACTTGGTGTTTCACCAGAACCTTTATGCTTTTGAACAAGATTGCGTAGTGCAGTACCCATGATAAGCTGCTGATCTTGTCAGCACTCACTTTCTGTTGTTGTACACGATCGGCACTCGTCAAAAAGGTTGCATCTTTCTTTATGCGCTGCCCATCGCCGACGTCGTCCGAGGCGTCCGGGGAAACAGGCGGAGATGTCGGCGATTCATCCGACGGATCGTCTTCCGTCCCCGCACCAACCTGTACTAGGTGCACGTCGGATATACCCGCGCCATTATCTCTTTTTGCCGTACATTTCTTGTGCTTTTTTCCAAACTTGCGAGCAGTGCGAAAATTGCGATACGGCTTCGGCACGATGAAAGGTTCAAGTCAGGTTCAAAAACGTGGCCGAGAGCGTAGGCCTAACGCACTGGCCCGGCGGCTGCGGCGCGCTTTGTTGGACTGGTTCGGCAGTGTGCCTGAATGTGCAGACTTGAGAAATGCTTGCTCCAGTACCATGATAAGCTGCTGATCTTGTCAGCACTCACTTTCTGTTGTTGTACACGATCGGCACTCGTCAAAAAGGTTGCATCTTTCCTTATGCGCTGCCCATCGCCGACGTCGTCCGAGGCGTCCGGGGAAACAGGCGGAGATGTCGGCGATTCATCCGACGGATCGTCTTCCGTCCCCGCACCAACCTGTACTAGGTGCACGTCGGATATACCCGCGCCATTATCTCTTTTTGCCGTACATTTCTTGTGCTTTTTTCCAAACTTGCGAGCGGTGCGAAAATTGCGATACGGCTTCGGCACGATGAAAGGTTCAAGTCAGGTTCAAAAACGTGGCCGAGAGCGTAGGCCTAACGCACTGACCCGGCGGCTGCGGCGCGCTTTGTTGGACTGGTTCGGCAGTGTGCCTGAATGTGCAGACTTGAGAAATGCTTGCTCCAATTTCTCGCTAGCTCGTGCGGCTTCAGGAAGTCGATGAGAACAATGACATGTGAGCGAGATACACTCGCCGCTTCAATGTGCTCTACTGCTGCACTGCAGCAGACAGCCCGGGAAAACGTGGCCGAGTGTAGGCCTACCGCACTGTCCTGACGACTTCGTCGAGCTCGTTCAGCGCCTTACCAGTATACCGTCGAACGTAGAGACTATACAGAGATGCTTGCTTTAATTTCTCGCTAGCTCACGCGAGTTCAGGAAGCCAACGAGTACAAAGTAACATACACTTGCCGCTTCGCGTGCGCTCCGCTATCGCACGCAGCAGACAGCTCGGGAGGCTCGGCGAATCGGAAGGCGCGATTTAGTCACGTGTGCTCACCGCACCAATAAGCTCACGCAACAGGGCTTTTATTTTACGCGGATTCCCGGCGTGCATACCGAGTGGACGAAAACAAGCGCGGTAGGATATGAAAGAAAAAGGGTGGCTCTTTCGAATGTGACAAAGACGGCTGCTGTAGCAAGCGTAGAACGGCAACCCCGCGGCGCTAAAAAAGCCCGTTTTTCACATGTCCACTGTCAAAAATAAGCTCACTATTGTCGCATAAACTACTCTCATGGCTAAACTACCAATCTAGGACGCGTGAAAATTGGTGAGATTATGCAGCGATAGTGGGAGAATCCAAATATAGCATTTTCAAAAAATCGTATTTTTTTAGCGACTTTCGGTCTCAAAGATCCCTTAAGAAAAAGAAAGGGAACAAAGGCAGAACAGATGAAGATTGCATGTGCAAGAGGTTCGACATTATAAAACACACCGAAGCTCGTATTATTTGTGTTTTAGAGAAGCCAGCGCATCTCAAACTGAAGGCAGCGCACTGAAGAAACAGCACATTGCAAAGGACTCGAAAGATTATGACCCCTCCGCCTTGTAAGGGGAGATGCGGGTTGAAAAACCGCCATTTTTTTTTTTTTTTTTCGAAAAAGTCGATTTTGTGTTTTGTATTCCTCCAAGCCTTCTCCTTTATATATTGATAAATCAAAGCTGAGAATTAACTAGAAGTTATCGAAAAATATAATTAAAGCACTCGAGGTGGCTTGTGAAAGTGCAAAATTACCAGATTCTCGTGCACGCGGCACTTCGCTCTACGGCATTGCCAGCTCTTGAAATTTCGCCATGTAGCCCTAACCATCTTCTCCCAGAGCCCACTTCGGCAGAGCGGCATTCACGCTAAAAATACAACAAAAAAATCACTTTCCAACTGCATTCTAGCTTGGCGAGTGGGCCTTCGAAGTCACGTGGCATGATCAAAGCCCTGCAATTGATTGCGAGCATTATGCCGTGCAGTCTGATACGAGCGAATTTTCCAGCTTTTGCCGAGACATCGACGAACACAACCGCCTGAGTTATTATTTCTGTGCCATGGATGCCAGTGAGAAACGCTACTTTCGTTCACGGAAGTTCACTACGCAGCACCAGCACGAGGGAAAGCACCCCAAACACAAGCAGTGAGCGCTGGCGAGAGGTTTGTCTCCTCCTAGGCCTAGCTGTGGCAGCAGAGACGTACTCGATTTGAATTGTTTGAGCTTCATTCCTAGCGTCGATGACTTCGTCAGTGCTTCAGAGTGAAGATGTTCGACGACAAAAGCAAGTGTCAGGAACGCGGAAGCACATTTATTTGCAAGACCGATGCGATGCAGAACCTCGTCAGCAACGCAGTATGGTTCAACTGCGTGTGGTGTGAGCAGTTCATTCGAATAATGGCAAGTAGACGATAAGGACTGTACATTGTTTTCGGAACTTTAGCACCGAAATGACGCATGTGTTGCAACTGTTCTTTCGTCCATGTACACGTCAAGCCGCGTCTACCCATCATGCAGTGGAAGTGAGAAGACGTCCGCCAGCGGCAGTACACCAGACAGCTCCGCTGTGAGCGTGAAGTCGGTGGTTGCACCGCGTGCGATTGGCGTCGGACACGAGCAGCTTGTGCGTTTTTGTGCTAATCATTGGTGTTCAAAAACCAGTGGGTCACAAGAACTGCCATTGAAAAAAAAGGAAAAAAAAGTGCATACCGCCGCCGAAAACCTTGCACGAGCCCGAGAACAACAGCCCATCGCCGCAATACGGAAGGGAAAAAAAAAAAAAAAAAAAAGCTCGTCGGGAGGAGGCAGCTTGCAGAGACTAAGGGTCCAATATATAGTGCTGGATTATTCTGAAACTGTCAACTTTTTCAAGATAGCTTTGCCGACATTCTCTGTGAATTTCATGCAGGTTGGTTGAAGAGTATAGTATTGTTTTTGAACATGTTTTTGAACTTTCAAACCTCTTTTTCTCAGTTCCTCATTTTTTCAGCATTTTTAGAGCTTGTGCACTATAATTTGTACGCTTTACCTAGTCGGATTGCAATGAAATTTGGCATGCTTAAAGTTTAACATGTCCTTAATTCACATGAATGACTTTCAAAAGTCTCCAAAACATATTCAGCTAGATAATTTCAGAAGCTTGTTCCTTCAGTATGGTAAAACTCAAACTCAGCATTAAAATTTTTTTCTAGTCCAGCACACAAATGTTACATGTTTTTTTGCTTTATTGCATTCTACAATTACTTAGGAGAACATTTGTTATTTTTTAGAGCTTTCTTGTGCTTACTATTGTTGCTTGTGCAAAAATGCAATCTTTTTACAAATGCATGGTCTGCAAGAAATTAACTAAATGAGCCATAAAAAAAATAAAAGCAGATTTGAAAAGAGGAGCTCGAATAACTGGTGAAAGTTTCATTGAGCTGTCACAAATATTTGAAGAAAAAAATTTTTGAGGAGCATCTCCCCTTATAATGTAATATAGTTGGTACAATTTCAAGAGCCGTTTTCTCGAAACGATTTTTCTTTTTTCCCGCTTCCCTTGTTCCACTCATCTTTCAGAAACCGCTGCATCCTTTTCAGTTCTGTCTTTATTCCTTGAAGTACAGTCCAGGGCATGACAATACTGTTTTCTCAGTATTGCCTTTTAATAATAAGCTACTTGACATGACACGCACAGACTCAATGCTTGTTAATATATCAATCACAGTATAATAACCTCATGAAAAATTTGACATGTTGTATACAGTCTCAATGCCTGTTGCACAGTAACCTCATGAAAAATGAGATGTAAAAAAATTGTGCAGCAAATCAAATCTGTGATTGCCATGTCCTCAATTAAACATCTTAGAATGCAAAGTGCTTTGAACGAGATTACTATTGTATTTTAAGCGAGTCAGACTCAGAACATGAATAAAAAGAGAAATATATTGGATATGAAAAAGTTGTAAAGATATGGTCATGAAATTTCAAGAGTAGCACATTTCCAACCAGTGTGCAAATTTTCACGAAAATCTATTAAAAAAAAGAAAGTTGCACACATGCCCAGTTATGGGTTGATCAGCTCTTGAGTCAACATGACATGGCTGGAAACCAGGGCCTGACACTCACCCGTGAGGCCGACCTTTTTGCGGCACATCCGACACCGATTTTTCTTTTTCTTCTGGTCCTTCTGGTCGTCTTGCTGGCTGCCCGTTTCAGAGGTCACGCTCTCAGTAGATTTTGATGGTGCATCCAGGTCTGCCTTCTGCAACAAGCAACAGGCCTTATAGGACCCATACAAAGACAGGGTATCAGCTACTCTCACAACACAAGCACACATTGCACTGCGATAGCTCAAAATTCTAGCCACGAATGAGCAACAGCATCAATACTCCGAGAGGACACTGTATACAGTGATGCTGCAAGTGCTAGTCAAACATCCAGGGTGAGGACACCAGACCTGCGTGGAAGGCGCAGCACAGTCGCAGCAAAAGCTGAAGGACCGGCCTTTTAGAGCCTTTTCTAGACACAAATTGGGTAACTGCTGCAAGCACACTTGCTTGATGCACACTACAACATTAATAAAAATTTTATGGTATTAGGCTGGCATTCTCTATGCTTTTTTTCGTCATTCTTCTGAGAAGTGTGGTACAGGCGATCGTGGATATATGGAACTCGAAGGGGATCGCAAAATAGTTCGATATACTGAGAATTCGAAATACAAAATATGCATATATAAGCGGGGACACGGGTCTAAAAAGGCCAAAAATCGCGAAAAAAAAAACAACCTTTTGAAGTTGACATTTTTGAAATCTGCAGCAACTATTTTATCACTTATCTGAGAAGTTTCAAGCTTCTCGTGTCATTTCTGGCACAAAATCACTTTTATAAGACCCCTGTGAGATGAATCTGAGCACAAATAGACATTTTTCCACGCCGAACTGTTGTCATTACAACCAAACTATCATGCTCATCTTGGTGTTGTTTGGAAGGGTCTTCTTCATCTTCGATTTCCCGCTACCAGTGGCTCGCCTTTGCTCATTGATTTTTCAGCAAAAACGCGTCATCGAGAAGCACCACCGCGCAATCCCATCGGCTGCTTGGGGCACGTGACCAAACCTAGGCACCCGATGCCAAGAGGCATTTCTGGCGTCTGCTTTTTCGTGACGCGCACGGACATGTGGCACCATTTTGTCATGGTACTGTCGACTGCCTGCCGCAGTAAAAAAGTTCCTTGCTGCACTAATTTGTGAAGCGGGTGTGGCGATCGTTCACTCGCTGTGAACTTCAGAAAGAGCCCCGCTATCACTCAGGACAGAGAGGATAGCAAACTCGCGGCGTTCAACGGCGGTCGCCGAGTCACCGGTGTAGGCCTAACTCACAGACGAGCCCATCGGTTGTCGACAACAGCAGTGTTTTGGTGCTTCAACAGTTACAGGAAGGCAAGTAAAAAAGCAGAAGTGAAGCTACGAGAGATAGCAATCTTTGCAACGATAGAACAGAAGCGCAGTCTTATCGCTAGACCCGCCGATGCCGCGGGTTCCCCCCTCCGTCTGACGTGAACTGTGTGACGGGTCGCTAGAGTAGAGTTCGCTGCGCGTCGACAAACAGCGAAAAAATCAATCCGTTTACTGTGAACAGACTCGCCACCCTGCGCAATGAAGGCTACTGGCAACAGGTATAGTGCTTGTAACGACGCGTCTGCAACGATGAACATATTGCGCTGCGGCCGCCACTCGAAAATGGCAATCTTACGTTTTTAGGAAACTAACACCTCGCTGCTCTTGAAGCCTTGAAATTGATGAGCGAGTGCGCGAGTTCAGTCTGCGACATCAACAACTCAATCTGGACAAGACGGAAAACCGCTTTATTATAAGACGGATCGCAGATTATGCACGGATATTCGTCACACATACCATATAAACCGGAATATAAGTCGAGATCTTTTCAATAAAACAACGAGCTGAAGTGGCCCCTCGTCCTATATAGCTGCATCTAACTGACAGTGCACCACTGTCTGGCGACATGTGGCTTGCATGTGCATGAAAAGCTCGAGGTTGAGGACGTTTAGGTAGCTGGCGGATCTAGCCTTGCATAATTTGCAGGCAATTGCCCCGCTCGGTTTTCTCTTTGCTAATTGTAGCTAATGTCCTTTGTTTTTAACTAAGCACGAGCAGGCTTTTAAAATAAAAATTGTGCATAGCGCGACGTAAGCCTGCATAAGATGGTGGCCTCTGTGCTATTCCACTTGCAGTATTGTGCCGGTACTCTATCTCGCTGCACTATACCCCAAACACAATTGGCACTTATCACCAGTCACATGCGAGGTCTGTAGCAATCAAAAATTTCAAGAGAAGTCGCGCCACCTCTTTTTTGAAGATCGAGGAACCACGTGGAAAATCTGGACACGGTCGTATTCGCATTCAAATATAATAGCAGGTTGGTTTTTTTCTCTCTTGTCTGTTTTTTGTGTTCGTGATTTGCCTTTGATATGGTCCGAGTTCTCGCTCCGCTTGACATTGTGTTTCATTTTCAGTGGTCTTTTTTTCGTTCACTGAATATGAGTAGCGGTACGAGAAGGCAGTACTCAGGCTGCATTCAAACTAGAAGTTGTTGATTATGGCTGCTCAGCGCCGCTTTGGTGTATTGTAAAAAAAGCGTGCACTATAGGAGGGAGCAGAAAGGAAAGCTGCAGATGTGCAATCCACGGAAAATGTCATTTTGTGGGTGATGTGCGGTTCATCCGCAGCTAGAGAATCGCTAGGGAACTTTGTGTGGGAAGTTCATGCGTGCTCGCTGCCAGTGACCGTGGATACCATTCGCAAGAAAGCTGTGGAACTCGCTCGGGAAGCTGGGCTCACGAGAGAAGAGTTTCACGCACCTAACTCTTGGGTGCATCGATTTATGAGACGCAAAGAATTTTCTTTCCGGCGGCACACATCCATCTGTCAGAAGTTTCCAGACAAGTTCGAGGACAAGCTTATAAACTTTCAGGGCTTCGTGAACCGGCTTCAGGAGCAGAACAACTACATGATTGGGCAGATTGACAATGACGATGAGACCCCCGTGTGGTTTGACATGCCTTCATCGACCATGATAACGCAGCGTGGCGCCAAGGATATGAAGCTGTTGTCCACTGGCAACGAGCACTCGCGCTTTACTGTCATGCTGGCATGCATGGCAGATGGTAAAATTCTCAAACGTAAGACAATGCCGAAGGAAGCGTTACCGCCCAGTGTTGTCTTTCGTATCAACAAAAACGGATACATGGACGAGGTCATGATGCTCGAATGGATACGAGAAGTCTAAAACCGTCAGCCAGGTGCACTGCTGCGTCTTTGCAACATGCTGGTGTTAGATGCGTTTTGTGGTCACTTAACCGACGCTGTGAAGCGCGCACTGGGCGATGAAAAAATGGACCTCGCCGTGATACCAGGTGGTATGACGTCCACCCTCCAACCGTTCTATGTGCTAAACAAGCCGTTCAAGGACCGAGTGCGGCTGGAGTATCAAAAGTGGATGTCCTGCGACAACCCAAAGACACTGACAGGCCGCCTACAGAGGCCTCCGCTTGCGACTGTTTGTGACTGGGCGCTTTCCGCTTGGCATTCCTTGCCAGATTCCATGCTGTAAAATGCTTTTAAGAAATGTTCCATCAGCAACTCGCTGTATGGCACAGAAGACAACGCACTGTTGGAGGCGGCCAGCGACAAATTCTCGTCATCAGAAGACAGTGGTGCTTCGTCTGACAAATAGGAACAGTTGCGATGGGTTGAGGGTAGCTCAAACGATCGGGGTGCGGTGCGCCCAATTCGCAAATAAATGTCGTTCGGCAATTTCGGGTTGTTTTCCTTATTTTATTTTTTGGCAACCTGAACTTGGGGAATACACCTATATTCCCACTCAACCTATAGTCTGGTTTATACGGTAGGCGTCGCCGAACTGGTGACGGCAGAGACTGCAGACGAGCCCAAGGTGACCGCATCAGCTCGCAAGTGTGCCTCTGCGGAAAACATACAGCGGGCATTGAAAAAACGCCATTTAGGTGGAGCAAAACAGAAGGACTACATGTCTGGTGCCTATTGAGAAAGCTGAATTTGCAAATCATTGTAAATAAACAGCTTTTCCATGCTACTGTCTGCCCAAAATGGACCCGTGTTTTTGCATGATTTCTCAGGATTCAAATTTTTCTGCAGTTGCAAACTTGTCTAAAAGATATCTCTGCCTCCAGAGCAGCTAGGACTGTCATTTTTGTTGTGACATGTAGCTGCATCTTTAGTTTACACAATGGTAGGTGTGAATTTTTTATTAAGATCTTCAAAAAATTTATTTTATGCCAGAAATTGGAGCCTAAAGTGGGCGTGTCTGCAACAGTGAAGTGCAAGGTGAGACAAACCTTGCTAAAATTATCAAATAAAAAAAAAGCACTCCTACCATTGTGCAGCTTTTGTTCATTAGTGTACAGGCATGTGCCAATAGTAGCTCTGCAATAAAAATTTCCTGTCTCATTATACCGGCAATCGATAATTAATTTTAGGATATCTTAAAAACTAATTGGTTTAGAGGAACAGTAATTGCATTTTTGAAATCAGCATGAAAACCTTAATCACACTGTGAATGTTCTTTACAAATGCATGAAAATATCTGACATTTGGTCTCAAGTACAGTGTTCCCCGTTGAGGCCTAAATTGAAGAATTTCAGGCCTCTGAAATTATTACAAGAGCTAATATAACGATTCACTCAAAAACAAGGTGCGAACTGCAGGTTACCGCACTTTATTTAGTCCGTAAACTTGTCTTGTCATTCAACGGGAGCCCGCGAAAGGTTAACGTGAGACATCAACTTTGGGCTGATGTCCACCTGACACAGAATCATCCGCAGTTGCCTTCTAACGAAATAATGTTTTACCATCCATCCCAGTCTTGGACAGGTCTTCGTGGCTTTCAGCTGCTCGTGCTGCCGTCGCCAGTAGCGAGCACCTAACTCTCCGAGGTGCTTACCAGCAGCTCTGTTGCCATTGTTTAGTGCATGATTAATCACTTTCAGCTTGAAGGTAGCCGTGTAACTTTGGTGTTGCCCCATAGCAGAACAGACACAACACGCACTTGTCACTTTGGCTTGGATTGGATTAGACTGGGGCTAGTGCTATGACCTCAGAGATCGGTGGCACGAGCAGATATCTCAAAGGCCATGGTTGTGTTAATAGTACCGCCAGGCTGATGATAGCGCCAAGCTTTTGTGTGCTATCATGAGTGGTTTGAAGGAGCAGACAACATTTCTTCTGCAATTTTCAGGGATGCGATAATTACACGTGAAAAAAAAAACAATCATAATTTTGTTAGCCAATGAGGGGGTATGAGAATTATGAGAGTTCGAGGATTACGCAAGTACATACGGTCCATATGACCAATATTTAGTAGGTGAACTAACAAACCAACTACTGAAGGTGCAGGTATGCTTGCCAGTCCTACTTTTGTTAGCCAATGAGGGGGTATGAGAATTATGAGAGTTCGAGGATTACGCAAGTACATACGGTCCATATGACCAATATTTAGTAGGTGAACTAACAAACCAACTACTGAAGGTGCAGGTGCCTTGAATGGATGCTTGCCAGTCCTACTTATGCAGTTCAAATTGGTGCATTGCTGTTCCTACTACAGCCCAGGTCATTCACGGCTGTGAGAAGGCTAACAGGACAACCAAATTGTTGCACATGCAAGGCTAGAGAAATCTGTGGCTGGATGTGACATTTCAGTCAATGGCACTGTTAACTAAACTAAGACAGAAGCTAGTAAACTGTGCCATATCGAAACTAATTGAAGAAATCATGCATGCACAATGGACAAAAAGATTCTAACTGATTAAACAATAAATGTGGCAATGTCTTGAGTGAGTGCTTCAGCCCACCTCACTGACGGCTGCATCCTGAGATGTGGAGGCCAGTACGGGAGGAACTGTCGGGCTGGCTGTGTTGAGGGCAGGGTCCGACACTGCGGCGACGCTGGCGGAAGAGGCACACTCGCTGCTGCTCGAAGAGGACGAAGCTGCAAGCCCAAGCGAAGATGATGCCGCTGCAATGGCACCCATAGAAAAATAACTATATTTCACTTGAAGCACACACAAGAGCAGAGCTTTGTAACCTCTCCCCACTAGGCTTGTACAGTGCAGGCACTTTATTAAAAGGAGCTAGACTTCTCCAGGGCACTTTTAGTTTAACGTTTCTAGTGCTAAAACTTAAAAACTATATAAACTGACCCGACATTTCGAGACCAATTCGGTACCCTCTTCAAGGACCGACTGTTTGGCCGGCTCCAAAGCTAGCGCCATTTCTTGGTAGTGTCTCCCTCTCCATCGTCCTTCTTCCCATCGTTCTTGTTGCTGAGGTGTTTTCTCAACTGGTTCCGTAGACTGTGCATGCATTCACTCGGAGGTCCCAGTTGAGGGGGTAATGTTTTGAGGGCGTTGTTTAGATATGCCAGGACTCCAAGAACTAACAGCTTTCTTGGGCAGCGACCTTCCATGTCTATGACCAAGGCGTCGTCGAAATTGATGCAATGGTCAATCTTTTCACTGTGTTCTGCGAGCGCGTTTCGTGCAGCACACCGGACAGTATCTACAGTTCAATACCAACCATGCGACCGATCATCAAAACACGCGTGAAGAAGCGATCCATACAGAACTCTTGGGCAATGAATACCCCAAGAGATTTATTCGCCAAGTAAGCCAGCCATCCGGGAAAGTGCCCCCCCTGCCCTCTTCTGCAAAAAATGACAGTAACAGTGAAGCCTCTCCTAAACATTCCTATCGCGTCAGGGTACAGGGGAAGGAGGGTGTCCAAGTGGCGCACTAACCCGCTTCAACAACCTGGCGACTCTTGCCGCAACCAGAGCACTGACTGCCAAAAAAAACATTCCTCGGGCGAGCTTGCATACCCCGATTGTCACGGCACTCGGTGGGACAAAAAACTTCTCGGAATTATTATGGCAACAAAAACGACATGCATAACCTCAACGCTACACGAAACAAGCTCGCAGAACACAGCGACGCCCAGGTCATCAACACAGAAGGTAGCCACACAAAAAGGGATCCGAACAACAGCTGGAAATATTAACCGCTCAACTGGGAGCTTACTGAGTGTTTACATGCACGAAGACAGTGTAGAAAACAACAAGAATAATCATGGAGAGGGGGACACCATCAAGAAATGCCGCTAGCTTCGGTGCCCCTGAAGAAGGGACCGAATCAGTCGCAAAACGTCAGGTAAGTTTACAATCTTTAACTTCAACATTACAAAACTTTTGACTAAAAGTGGCTGGAAAGTTCTATTTTATTCATATGAATTCTCACCCAGCCAGACAGATCTCTATTGAGTATGTTCACCTTCAGACCCACAGCACTGCTTAACATTCTTGCTAACCAGATCTTTATTGAGTATGTTCACCTTCAGACCCACAGCACTGCTTAACATTCTTGCTAACAAATTTATACTCATTGCATGAAAATATAAGCTCATCTATAATACTCTTCATGGTTCACAACATAAAGGAACAGGAATCAACTTGTCCATTTTTCTATCTTTATGACATTTTTTATGAAATATAACAATTCCAGTTGAACCTCTGTATATGAGCCACACATCGGACAGCAATTTTATATTTTTTTTTTCTTATATGAGGTCACTCATACAAAGAGTATGCATTTTCTTAACCCACATTTCGATGTAGGCACACTGGTGTCCATCTCTTACATGTCTCTCTTGTTTTACTGTAACAAGTAATCAACAAAATACTGATTAGCAAGGCGACCTGCTGCACGGTTCTTCTGAGGACGACTATGCCAAGTGTACTTAAGAATGACCCGCTCTGTGAACCTGAAAAGACCAAGCCAGCAAAGCATGCCACACAAAGAGCAGGACACCATTCCAGCTCTGCAATCTCAACTGCATTCACACTCGGCAGACTAAGAACCCAAGCATAAGTGCCGTACATAACTTCCAGTTCAAAACCTTAAAAGAAAAAGCAATGCGTAATATGCAGACTTCTTGCATGAGACCATGTATGCATACCCTGTTTAGCAAAGCCTTTACTTTGTTGTTTCTAGCTTTTATGGCTACCAACTGCATGTATCAAAGGACTTATCGGAAGCACAAAGCAGATTAACCCCCTGAAAGCCCGGGTAGAGAAGTGGTCGTAGAAAAAATCAAATATTTCGTTTCTGTGCTCTTGAGATGCAGCAGAACATATTTAGCACAAGTAGTAGTGGTAGAGATGTTACATATAAGAAATACAATTCGTATTATATATGATACAGTGGGCTTCCTTGAAAGGATATTAGCGGCACACCAGTGTTCTACTTCAGTACCTATAATAATCAGAAACAATTTCTTGCCTTGCTGAGGCAAAGTTTAATGCCACAATTGAAACAAATGATGGAACCGAGCTTATTTTCACTTGTCACATCATTCCCGTGGCGCAGCCCCGGTTCGTTACCAGTGGGCAATGTCTAACACCATCTTTCCTGATGTCAAGATTGGGCTCTTACAGTGGAACTTTTTTTTTTATTAAGCAGGTGATGGAAAGCTCTATTGGTGTCCCTTTTTTGTGTTTCCGTGGAGCATCAGGCACTCCGACAGCACAGCAATGAACACGCAGCTTCAATGGCTTGGAGTGCGCGTTCAAGTAACGCCCACTGTATCAGATATGCTACGGGCGAAATTACCCCGCTGCCGTAGAGTCCTAAGCTATGGCACATCCCAAAATATACCTAGAGACCAAATAATGTATGATGTTAAACAGTTCAAGCAAGTTTTCAGAAAAAATTAGCCATGAGTACACTTTCTAGCGTAGAACGTTCGAGCTGGAATTCCATCACGTGCGTTCGATAGTGAGCTTGCGGTGCTCGGGTGGTAATAACTAGAAGCCCGAAGATTCTAAAACACACTTCAGCGTTCCCTAAAGCCACCAAGCAGCTTTTGTGCTTTTAGTTTCGGTCTTTAGCAGTGGGCCTAGCTTCAAAGTTGGCATAACAAATATAACACGCTGGGCACTGTGGGGTTAAAGCACCAGCAATGCTTCTGTAAGCATACCTGCCAACCTAGCAGCCTGAAAGTTCGGGAGCCTGCAGCTGGGGAAGGGGGTGTTGTATATCTCAAATTACCGCGACATTGGCGACCCGATGCCAGTTGCCTCCGCCCACTGCAATTGCGAAATCACTGCATTTTAGAGCGCCCATCACTATGTGTTTGGCATCGCCAGCCATTTCCCCGATGATGGCAGTGCACGTCCAAACTCTACACCGATACTGCTTCGCGTCCTCGGGAACATTTTCTGAAACAATGGTCCTGCGTGATCCCCAATTCCCTTGTGTTCCACAAGAAATCCTGTGAACAGGCATGCTCTTTTGGAAGAAACTTACAGTGCTGCCTTGCCCTTTCACAGCACAAACGTAGTTCTGATGCTTCTGTGAAGCTATGGGAGTCTGCCTTGCAGCTGTGCAAAACGCTTGTATCACAGGCGCACGTGGTATAATATCTGTACTTGTCACCTTTCCGGGGGGTCTCACAGCGCAGGATTATGCGTGACACTGATTTTCCAATAGAACTCGAGGAAAAATGCAACCCACACAATACACATAACTGAGACCAAGGCAGGCTGTGTAGGCCTTGCGTACAAAATGAGGGGGCCAAGACAGACACAAAAGTTGTGGTACCTTTTCCTTCTCCTTTTGGTATGGTGGCAAGCCTGTCCCACAACCAGCCTTTGCCCAGATGTGCGGTACTACCTAGCAGTACTATTCTGCAGCACCGCGACTGTCGCAGCATACGAGTGATTAAAAGAAGAAAAAAACAAAAACGCACTTCCACTGTGGCAGCCACTTTTCGGGAGATTTGAGATAGCATTCGTACAATAGGGAGGTCAAAATTCGAGAGTCTCCCGGACAAAGTGGGAGAGTTAGCAGGTATGGTACGTTCCCAAGCTGCAAGCACAAATGGCAATACTAATCAACATGGGTTAAGTGGAATATATAAACTTGCCAACATTAATGCAGCCTACTATGGAACAAACTACAAAACTTCATCTTAGTCAAGTAACTCTTTCTTGCTGCTGTTATATTCCGAAGCAGTAAACAAAAAAAAAAGCAACAAGTATGAATAAAGTGAGTTTGATAATGTGTGTGCCTATTTAACCTCGATGTATAATTTTTCAATGTTTGCAAATGAGTTAAATATCTCAATACACATAGCTACAAAATATGCACTACATCCAACACCCCTTTAGTCAAATGGGCAACTTCATCAAGCCCTTGAGACACTGCAGTTGACAGCCATAAAAGCTAGAAACTGTGAACACCGCTCTCCACAACAGGACAATCACAGTGCTGCAAACAGTCTTCATACCGAGACTCGACTGGTTCAAATGATAAGAAATTTTACGTAGTACGCATAATTCTTTTTCTTCGGATTTTGAACAGGAAATCTAAAGACATACTGTATGACATCACTTCAGTTAGGTTCTACCCAAAAATAAATGCAGTTGAACTCTCCTCCTCTGGCATCCACTGGATGGCCTAACTCACCTGTTGGGCTGCCTCTCCCGGCTGTCTGTTTGCGCTTGAGGGCATCCTTGTAGCATTGTGAGCAGAGACCGTCCGTGGCTGGACTGCCATAAAAACCACAGCCGGACCGGCACAAGGCCCCACTTTGCGACATCTGATTGGTGTCCCGCTCCATGATACCACTCAGCGTCGCTAGTCACGCCTGCCAAGACCATGAAAGTTTTGAGCCACAACATGCATACAGCAGTAAAACCAGGGCTCATATGAACCGTAACTAGGCAGCCAACAAGATTGCAATAGAAGCCAGATCGACCTTTTTACAAATGAAGCAGCTCGATTTGAACCATCACCTTTTATGATTGTGAATGCAGTTGATAGTTCCAAAATTCACGTGCGATATATGTACGGGCTCAGCCACATTAAGGTTAATACGTCTTTACTATTGAAGACCTCATAGAAGCTCATGTTTAATTAGTGAAATTACTGTGTCGGTCCACACCTATTTGCATGTCAGATAACAGACATCATGAAGTAGAAGAGCTTTTACATTTAGCAGCTTGATTATCATCACAGAGTTTCCTAAATATACATTAGAGGAAACTCTGGTACTAGTGTCTACGGGAGCTGCAACGCAGGGGAATTATGGGGAGTAAATGAATTTTCCCTAGTCTTCATACTTTACGTTCCTTCTGGCTTCACGTGGCTTGAAGTTCCTTCGTCACAAAACAACAATTGGCAAATGTGCGGCAGTTACTCTTCAACTTCTTGGATCGCCGTTTCACCTCAGCTCAAAGAACTGCTCGTTCTTTCATTGAAAATAAAACTAAAACTCAAAAGGCATTCGCCGCCCGCAAGAATGAAGACTAGGGGTATCCATGTCATACCCACCATTCCCATGGACGCTGAAGGATCGCAGTGCTAAAGTCCCCTATAGTTATTTTATTAAAGAAACTCTATGAATACTATGGTCGACCCTAACACGCTGCAGGAAAAGTTTATGAGATATGGATAAGTCAGCAAAATGAAAGTCACTTCTATACTTACTGAAGTGTACGAAACTGCAAGCGGAGATATTTAAATTTAGGGACTACCCATCTATGTTCACATACTAAACGAAAGTCCGGATTTTTAGCCCGTCTCGCGTCCTCGTTGCCGCCTGGTGGCGTTTAAATGCGCAATTGTGAAAGCACAGAAATAAGTCAGAAGGAAGCGAGAAAATAGCTGCGCATGCACGCTCATGACGAAACGGACGCTAAACGCACGTTTCTCGAGGCCACTTACGACCCTCCGAGCTGACAATAGTTCTCGCATGTGATAACAAGTTAAAAATTCTAGGAATCGTAGCATGCGGCGAATAAACACAGTTAGGCAGTCAATACACCGATTTGTGTTGTCTGAGAGGCGCGTAGCAACAGGTTGACAGCAGGCGTCCGAAAGAAAACGAGGACAAGGTGAAGGACATCACTTGATCGGAACCAACGAACAATAACTTGCGTGACCACTCCTGGCACGGCCCAGTCATCGAAAGTTGCCGAGTTAATGCGCAAAGTGCGTCCATCACGACCGGGCTAAACCTGGTTCGAGTCATTGCCCTTGAGGGGCGATACGAGCGTCTTCGAAAAGCTTACGGACATCGACATCAGTGCACGTGAACACGGCTCGCCCATCAATGAGAGCACGCACTGTTTTATGCCTCTTGAGTCTCCTGACGCACCGTAGGCGAAGAATGCAGAACGACAGCAGCTCTCTACGACCAGTACACGTAGGTAGCCGTGAACGCGCGAGGGCACCGTCGAACAAGCTTTTGCCTCATAATCGTTAAGCCGTGGCGCCAGTAGCAATCCGATCACTGGGCGTGAAGTAGCAGTCAAGTAACATCAAAGAGGTTGGCGATGCTAATGAACACTGAACAAAATGCGAAGATGCCCCGATGATTGCGAACCTGCGCAATAGGCCTATAAATCCCGATGTCCTGGTGTTGAACATCGCATATTTAACCACGAGACGGCTCACGAGAGAGCTTACGAGCCTTCCCGTAGCAAAACTCGACTGCCAACGCAAGTCTATACATACAGCTGCGTCATCATGTCGAGACCCCCGTTACAAGACGCCTGGGCGTAGCAATGCTTTAGGCCTGACTTATTTTCCAGCTGATAGTGGTTCTCTCACCTAACGTTGGCTCTGAATAGTTATCCCGAAAACAGGGTGGCGGCGATGAGTCCGTAGCAGCCACGAACAGTCCAAACGAAACCACACGGTAGGTTTAGTAAACGCTTCCTTGTTGGAGAAATGCACATTCACCACCAGAGAGACGAGGGGAAAATGGCGTCCACCACGTATCCAACGATATTTCACAGCCAGGCAGTGTCCAGTCTACAAAAGCATCGCTCGCAGACAATGTCGTCCAAGTCACTGCTCTTTGTCTTTCACAGTTCATGAAATAAGGTGCATCTTGTCGGCCAAACAGCAGGCCACAGTAAGGACAATGCTCAGCCAGCTCAGCCTTGCCTCGCTTTCGTGATGAGCAGCAGATTGCCACAATCAAAGATCAGAATTTCGTCACATGACAAAAACCTCGCTCGTCATTGGACGAGACCCAGAGGCGCTGCTAGCGTTTTTTGCCCAAGAAAACCTACTTCACTTCCTGCGATGACGCCAGCAGGTTTTCCGGTAGCAGTGACGCAAGCACGCAAAGGAAAAAAGAAGTGCTTTCGTATTCGCTTTAGTTGACGTAGGCGCTGAAACTCTCCGAATTCAGATGGATTGCGCGACTACCAGTACTTGACTCATCGTAAAGTCGTTAAACTGATCGCGTTAAACCAGAATACTAATAACAGCACGTGATGGCGTGGTAATGAACCCGTTTAGGGCAGCCACCTCCGATATGCCATGGCTGTTTACTTTTGAGTGACGGGTTCTCTCGAGTGGCAAACAAAAGTCTAACTTATCGAGAACTCCAGGAAGCAGTAACAGACAACGACCGTTGAGTTCTGCAATCTCGAGGAGTTTCTAATTTTTGCCCCTCTACCAGAGAACTACGCCACCGACCTGAAGGGAGCACACTCAAGGTGAATTGCAAAACACCGCAAACCCGGAGTAGTTGCCAGCTTAGCAACGAATGTGTTTGCGTCTTAACGCTTACAGCCTACCATAAATCATATCAACCACTCGAAATGATAGCATGCGCGTGAACGAGAACAATATGCGCCTTTTCTCGATCGCTACCGTGGTTTTTTTCTCACCGAGGTGATTCACCTGACAACCTGTTTCCGAAAACTCCCAACCAACACTCATGCCTGACTTTTTGTTTTTTATTGGCCCTAGGTTGTAAGCTTTGGTTCGCTGCGTGGTAGCGTAGGCTCGTATTAAAGTCGGCCTTTAGTTGAAGATCGTGGACAAGTTACGTACCGTTCGCGTCGAGTGCGTCCTAAGCAATATGCGCATTTGTCTCCCATGACGTCGACGTGAGGAGGTAGGTTAGACGAGAGAAAGTGGCCCGGCTGTCGTTTGCAGACATGCTTGCCGTGCAATTTTGCCACACTCCTTTGGGCACGATTTCGTTCACAGTGACGGTGCACGTGCTCTCCGTAGAATGCGAGGGGGTAGGGCCCTTCTATGTAGGGGGTACTGCGCGTTTTCTTTGTCGTGCCCGCAACTGATCGTGAATTCGTGGAAGCGACGGCAAATGTGGGAATAGCTGTTTCTGCTCGGTATGGTGTGTTGTGTTGTCTAAAGGCTTTTGCGGGCAAGGTTCTGTTTGGCGTTATGCATATAAGTGGCGCTTTCCGCATCGACGACAACCCGATGAAACGGTCGTGCACTTTTTAAAGAATGGGGCCAGGGCACGTACCCGTTCAATGAACTAACCGCAATTCGTTGTTACGGCTGTGTCAAATAATGAAAACAGTGTTTTATGCTGATTCACTGATTTTTGCATTAGATAATTCATGGCTATGCATAAATTTTTCTATAAACTCATTTACTCCATAATGAGTTCAACTGTTCTGTGCCGATACACAGTCATCTCTGTGGGCACTTCTAACTTTACTTACATTTAGCTCATCCGGCATATTAAAATATAGACAGAACAAAAAGGATGCAACTAAAAATAGGTGACGGTGGCTGAACTGAGATTAGATACCTACTTGGTTTGGCGGAGTCGAAAGATACCACAACTCAACTTTCTGATAGGACCATCATCATCATTTTATTTGTCCACTGCAGAATACTTGACGGATTTTCTATTAAAATGGCTCTAGTTCTCAATGGACAGAGCAGATGTGTGCCACAGATCAAGTTCTGTTCTGCGCCACTCTTCCAATGATCTCCCTCTTTCCCCTTCAGCGTGCCATTTCGTCACTCTGCCACCCCCATTCATGCTTTCTGTCTCTAGCTAAACATTTCAACTGTCCTAGTGCGCTAGACTGGGCTGAGAAACGTTAATTTTGTATGCCTGGCTTCATTAAGTTATACAATGCTAGCTATACTTAGGCTAATTAACTGGTGTAATCAACGGTGCGAGGCCGGCACTTAAGCCAGCTACACTGCAGCTGCTTTGTAAAAGAACAGCACAGACTTGAGAAAGGGACACCCAGTTGTCGGTTTGTCTACGAGTGCCGTAACCCCATCGAACAAAACGACGTGAGAGGCCACCTGATAACGATGGGACGGGCAGGTCAATCGTAGCAGGTTTCACGTCGGTAATGGTGCGTTTTGATGCATTCTGCCACACGATCTTGTGCTTTGCACACCCAAAGCAAACCTGAGACCGTCATCAGCCTGGCTACATCAAGTGCAGGACAAAGGCCTCTCCTGTAGAAGAACTGAAAGCCGGGCCAGTTGGTGACAGCACTTGAACATATTTCAACACTGCGCACTACTATGCGGACACAAGAAGGGACAAACTGCAGCATGTTCAAAGGCCTCTTCCTTGTTCTGCCAGTCAACTCACTCCTGAGCTTGCTGCTGCCACTTAATACCCGCAAACTTCCTCATCTCATCTGCCCACCTAACTTTCTGTCTGCTCCCTGCCGTGGTGGTCTAGTGGCTGAGGTACTCGGCTGCGGTGGCTGCATTTTCGATGGAGGCAAAAATGCTGTAGGCCCGTTGGCTCATATTTGAGTGCATGTTAAAGAACCCCAGGCGGTCGAAACTTTTGGACCTCTCCACTATGGCGTCTCTCATAATCATATGGTGGTTGTAAAAGATTATGTCTACTTAGGACAGGTAATAACCGTGGAGCTGAACCACGAGATTGAAGTGACTAGAAAAATGGGGTGGAGCACATTTGTCAAGCACTCGAAAGTCTTGACAGGTAATTGATTTGTGGGGTTTAACGTCCCAAAACCACCATATGATTATGAGAGACACCGTAGTGGAGGGCTCCAGAAATTTTGACCACCTGGGGTTCTTTAACGTGCACCCAAATCTGAGTACACGGGCCTACATTTTCGCCTCCATCGGAAATGCAGTCGCCACAGCCGGGATTTGATCCCGCGACCTGCGGGTCAGCAGCCGAGTACCTTAGCCACTAGACCAACGCGGCGGGGCTTCTTCACAATTACATTGTTATTTCAATAATATTCCTTGTACTTTCTATGGCATTATTGTCTGTTCTCATTAATACTGTTTCTAACAAAGAAAATGACCCCTAATGTTTACACTCCTTTCCTTCTAGGTCACAACTGGCATTTCCATGGAAAATCATGCTACTTTGGTTCTTTCACACAAGTTTCCCACTTGATAGTTTGTGTAGAAACAACTAGATTGTGTTTCATACTTTGTAATATTATTGCTCTGTATATACCAGGCAGGCATGCAGGTTGTGTGAAAGCTTGCACCACTAGAGCAGAACACTACATACTTTTCACTCAGGTGGGAGGATAGGGCAGTAAATTTAGTCGGCGACAAAAGTTGAGGATATGTGCACCATGTCAAATGTGAATTTCTGTCTATGCTTGATGCTAATGGATAGAATGGATTTCTCTGCAGATAAAAAGAAACAGTACTGCTGGATGAAACTTCAACTTAGAAGCTGTTTCCAGGCACAGTGAGAATAAAGCTTATTTCAAAATGTGCCTTGAAACTTCTCTTGCTGAATGCACATTGGTTGTTAAACACCTGCAAATATCCTTTGACCTGTTTATAGAGGCAGCTACTACGTACTTGTGCTTCAACTGCTTGTTCGACAAATAGCTGTAAATATCTAGTGATTTCAATATGACATATTTTCCCCGAAAGGTTCTGGTAGGAGTGTAAGAGTACTGCCCAGTACTGCTTTATTCTCCCATTATAGCAGCATGCCCAAGTTTCCATTCGTTATAGGTCATTATAAATTTTCTTGAAGTTTCACTGTGTGCCTTAATTCGAAATAAAGCCTATTTTCAAAATGGTGGTGTGCAATACACTCGAAAGAGAATTCAACAGGCTGAGGTCCTATCACGTTAGTTCAGCTTACACATTTATTGCTAAGGCAAGATGACTACAGGCCATCTCAAATGACATAAAGCTCTACAATAAAGTCTGATTTCCACTCAGTGCTATATTTAATACAAATTCAGAGAGATTTTTCTCTTGTAGGCTTCATTACCTCCTTAGCATTATCAAATAAGTGTTTATTTCCGCAGCAGTGCATCACACTTTTATCGTCACTTGTCAAGCGTTTCATCTGCTTTTAGTCATCTTTGTGAAGGCATAGGACCATGTTCAAATTTTGTGAATTTATGAAAATATGTGGGGTTTTTACATCCCCAAACCACTATATGATTATGAGAGACGCCATTGTGGAGGGCTCTGGAAATTTCGATCATCTGGTGCCCTGAAAATGCACAGTACAGGGGCCGCTATCATTTTGCCTCCATCGATATGCGACCGCCACGACTGGGATCCAACCTGTGACCTACAGGTCAGCATCCAAGCTCCCTAGCCACTGATCCACCGAAGCAGACTTTTGTGAATAATTCAATAAGGAAGTTTACAGTGAAAGTCCTGCTTTGTATGTTCCATAAATAGCAAGCCCTGTGGGGTCTCGGCGCGGCGAACGCGCGCATCGCCACGCCACGCTCTTGGAGTGAACGCACACAGTGGACACGGTCGGTACAAAGCACACCACATACATACATTTATTAACTAATTTAGACGACGATATCGTCCGCCGAATGATACAACAATTTCAATTAACACTAAACCATACAAACAACATAACGCAGGGACGCACTAAACACACAATAACATGATAAACACACTAACACACCCAACACACTAGCACATACCCAAGGCGGCGTCGCCAACGCCTGACCTTATACGCGGGACCCCGGCGCGAAGCCCGCGGTGCCGAGCACCGGGGACCCGCGCTACAGACAACCGTTCGCGGCAGCCGCCACGCGCAGAAGAGGCTCGCTCCACTCTCGCCCACCGCCAAGGCCTGCCTTCCGCCAGGGGCCACCGCCGGCGCTACCACTCTACCAACAGTGGTACTGATGATGATGATGATGTGATGGCGGCCGGCCCCTTTGCAACGGGGGAACACACTCAGTGTCCTGGCCTCAAAAAGAAAAGTGGGAAAAGAAAAACAAAAAGCACAGAGAAAAAAGAAAGGACCAAGAAAAGGATCCACACTCTTGAACGACACAGGCAAGAGACGCGCACACAGTGGTCTAGGTCCTAAGTCCGCCGTATAGTTGCCCACCACTCAGTAAGCCGCCTTTTCGTGGCTGCGACCGCGTACCGTCCCCCCCCATTGTCGCTGCTTCCATCTTCATCAAGCCTTTGAAACCCGAGCGCCTGTGGGAGGGTTGCACCCTCCACCTGAGAAGTTGGGAGACTCCTGCAGTGAAGGACGAGATGCTCCTGTGTCTCACTCGCTACGCCGCAAACTCTGCACAGGTTGCTGACCACAGTGGCATCAAACTTTCTGCGGTACTCCAGAGTGCGAAGAGCCCCAGCTCTCGCCTCGAACAGGAGGCTGCTGCCAATGCTATTGTCATAGAGGCGCGACCCACAGATGCTGTCCTGGTGTTTCCTGTAGCACTCGAGAGTGGACTTCGCCTCCATAGCTTCTCGCCATCGGGTTTCTTCTGCTTCTCTGACTCGCATGCGGACCTCGACCGTCCACTTGGCTGCTGTTTCAATAGGACTGGCTTCTGCAAAGAAGCCATACTTCTTCTCCAGCTGGTAGAGTCGTCGTGTCCAGTCAGTCCTCATGCATGTTGCCGAAAGGTACTCGAACACGCGGCGCGCCCATCGAGTGCGTCGCATGAGCGTGAGACGACCCCGATAGGCAATCTTGCTGGCGGCTTCCCGAGCTTCAAAGCTGGACCATCCGACGTCTCCCTGAATCGCCTCGTTGGCCACTCGATAATGGCAACCGAGCGCTGCACGGCCGACCTCTCTCTGCTGACGCTCCAACCACTCCCGTGTCGTTGGCGATATGCACACTACCGCGTTTCCAAACGTCAGGCCCGGCACGTGAACCATCTTCCACAGGTCCCGGATCATCTGAAATCGGTTGCAACCCCATAGGCATCGGCGACGAAGGATTCGTTGAGCCTGCAACGCAGTCTGTCGAATCACAGTCTCGTGTAGACTATATTTTGCTGCATCCACACACAGGGTGACGCCCAGGTATCTGTAATCGTTGCGTGTGGCCAGCAGTTCTCCTCCTAAAGTCAACGCTGCTGCATCAGTACTCCCTCCAGTTAGACGGACAACCGCCGATTTCTTAGTGTTGAATCGAAGTCCAAGACTCGCGAGTTCCGTCTGGCAGATGTCGAGGAGGGATTGCAACTCCTGGTTACTCTCTGCCATAACCACCAGATCATCTGCAAATGCCAAACCAGGCAGGTGGAAGTTCTCTTCAGCACTAGTTGTGCTGAAACGCATGCTGAATCCGAGGTTGGAGTTCAACAAGGCCCGCTCTATTCTGGATGCGTATAGAATGTACAGCAATGGTGACAGTGGGCAGCCCTGCCTCAGACCCTTATTTACATGAATTGGGCCAGTAGTTATGGCACCCAACTGCACACTCACTACATTGTCACTGTACAACCGTTGTATAGTGGAGATTAGCAGCCGGGGCAGTCCAAGGTCAGACAGGCATGCAAAGAGAGGACCGTGCGGCACGCTATCGTACGCTTTTTCAACATCGAGGAAGCAGCACAACAGCGTTCTCCCTTCCCTGCGAGCTATTTCTGCACACTGTGTGACGACGAACAGATTGTCATCCAGACGTCTGCCTGGCCTGAAGCCATTCTGAAGCTCGGTCAGTAGTCCCTTGGTTTCCGCCCAGCCACTCATCCATGCTTTGATGACCCCCGCGAACAAGCGATACATAACACTGGTGACCGTTATTGGTCTGTAGTCCTCTATGTTCCTCGCATCTCCGCCCCTTTTGGGGATAAGAATCACCTTCCCTTCATGCCATTCTTTAGGGATGGGCTCGCCTTCGATGATGGCCGTGAGGATCTCTGCGAGCTGTTCCCTCGAGTCTTCTCCCAAGCGCTTTAGTACGCGCGCTGGCATGCCGTCCAGACCAGTGGCCGTTCCAGCCCTAATCCGCTTCAACGCCCGTTCAACTGTGAACCTTGAGAGGGCCCAGGGTGGTTCTGTTTGGCTTGGGGGGCGTTCGGTATTAGGACTGATTGCCTCCTCTTTACTAAGGGTGGTGTCTGTATTCAAGTCTGAGGTCCCGAAAATCCGGGAGAAGTGCTGTGCAATGTATTCACAGGGCTCTCCGACTGGTTGCCCCGTTGCCGCATCTATGAGAGGAGGTGGCGGGGGGGCGGCTCTGTCCAAGGACCTAATGTATGTCCAAAATTTGTGTGCTGCAGATCTTCCTTCCTGTCTGATGGACTGGATCAGCCTAAGGTTGTAGTCTGCTATCTTGCACTGAATCAGGGTCTGTACCTTGTGTTTACGGTCCAGATACACAGCCCACTTCTCTGCACATACCTCAGTGTCAAGGCCTTTGACAAATCTTCGATGTTCCCGATTTGCTTGGCGGCGCTCCTTCCACGCCACCTCCACTTCTTTGTCCCACCATGGGTTCTGTGGCCTGCGTCCCGGCCTCTCCTGGACCATCTGGGTACGCATTACAGCGTCCAGTGCGCGCATGAACTCACTGTACGAGCGGGATTCCCGCCGTTGAGGACTACTTTCAAAATCCTTGGCGACCCTCTCCACGGACTTGCTCGGCAAGTACATGCCACGCCTGGGTGGAGGTGACATGCAGCCTGTTCGAAAGCCGCCCTTAGAGAACAACAGCCGTATGCGATTATGGTCACTTCCAAGGCTGAACTGGCCCTCTTCATCAATATGCACTTGTGCTATGCGAGCGGCCAGTTTTGCAGTCACCAGAGCATAGTCTATGGTAGAGCGGCTGGTACGAGCGCACCATGTGAAGCATCCCTCACAGTCAGTGCGAAGGTTAACGATTTCCAAAGAGAACTGGCTCACCAAGAATAGTCCCAGAAACCCAATGTGCTCGGCACAAGGACCCTTCATTGGCATCCAGGCTGTATTGCTGCGCCACAGCACACCAGCGCCGCCTCCTTTGCGGCAATCCCCTGTACGATTGCAGCCCACCCACTGCCATTCGGGGTCAACTGGTGGCTCTTCCAACTCTCGTAGGTGAGTTTCCACCACACCATACAGAGCGATCTTTTCGCTATTCAGCGTCTTATACAGCTCAGCCCACTTAGCTGCCTTTCTCGCCCCATGAAGATTGAGAAAACCAACGTTTACATTGGTGGTTGTGCGTTTGCGGTGGTGGTGTCTTCGACGGCTCTTCAGAATCATTGGGTGGTTTGACTCGGCATTATTATTTGGCGCATCATTTGCTGGCGGACCATTTCCCCAACCATTTGATACAGCTCGGGGCTTGCGCTGAGCCTGAATGCTTGCCACGGGGTCTTCGTAGGGTGTGCAGTGCCCAGATGTGGCCCCCATGTTGGCGGAGCCAAACTCGTCCCCGGTGGACGGGGTGTGCTCAAAGGTGCTAGCTGTGCCATGTTTGCTGCGTAAACCGGCTGGGTGTGTTCGCGGAGGGTTTGCCCTGGGGTGGTCCGTACATCGGCCCTGAT